GCCCCTCTTGTCTGCAAAGTCCTTCGCTGCTCGGAACTTGTTGGCAATGCCTATTTTTCAGCTTTCCCCCACGTTCTCCAAAGTAACTATTTAAAGATCTGCAGCCGCAAATGGTTTTACTAAATGTAGGATGGGACTTAAGTTGAACGGCAGATACATTTCTCTGATCCTTGCTGTACAGATAGGTAAGTGGACTGCCAAATTCGGTGTCAAGTTGTGTGCACCCCAGCCCGGCCGATGCATGCGGGAGCGGGATGTCGGAACAAGCTGCGCCGACGGCCGCGCGTCGGGGCGGCGGAGGGAGCCCCGCTCCCCGCTCCCTCTGCCTCCCTGCTCGGTGACACCTTCGCGGCTCTTCAGGCTGCCACGGCTGGGGGGTCCGCAGGAAAGGGAGCCGATTCCTTGCTCCTCTCGAGCCACTGTTGTTGTTCGTTCTCCTAAATCAGTGCATGCTCAGACTTCGCTTTGATTTCCCTCCTTCTTCTTCTTCCTCCTCTCCTCCCCTGTTCTCTCCGTCCCCACGAACGACCTACATTTGTATTCGGTTTTCGGATATCCCCTGCATTCCTTTCCACCACAATCTGGGGACTCCACCGCTAAGAAATCCCCCTTCCCTCGAGGGACAGAGAAATAAGAACGGGGACAAAATGGCTTGTGAGATTCCTAGCTGGAAAGTTTGGGGTGTTGGGTTTTTTTTTTACAGAAAATCAGAGGGACAAGCGAAGGGCTCCCTTTGGGAACTTAGAGGCTTTTCCATTTACAGAGCAGCCTAAAACACAAACAAAACCCAACGCTAAGTTTAAAAAGGAAAATCTACCCGAATGCGGGGATTAAGCAAATAAAAATTGTTTTTAAATCGCCAAGTCCCACCGCCCGATCCTTAATTCTGTGCCCCGAGAACCGCTGGGGAAAAAAAAAAAAAAGGTTAAAAAAATTCTATATATGTTAAATTACTTAATATAGAACAGATTTCTCTCCATGCCAGTATGTGTTTTTGTGTGCTCGTTCCTGGTTTATGTTTAATATCTTGGGTTTTTCGCTGGTTCTGTATGTTGGTTTGCTCTGAGCTTCATTTTATTCAACTTTCTTTGCTGAATTTTTTTTAAAATTACAGACATTAAACAGTTTCCAAGTTAATGACCACTTTGGTTTGATACAGGCAAATATTACAGAATATATATATTGAATATGTATATTCCTGAGCATGATCCAAAACTGGGCTTGAAGGAACGGGAGATTAAAGTGCATCTTTCCTTATCCAAATTGGCAGGTGTGGAGACCCTTGAAAATATTTGCCTGCAAAGGAATTCTGCTACAATTATTAATAATAATAATAAAAATAATTATTATTTTTGTAAAAGAGCTCGGCAGTGTTATTTAGGGATCCCTTCGCTCGGTCACCCTCCTCTCCAGACAATCTCTGCAGCATTTTCTGGGTACCAAAAGAAAAACGAAAAAAAAAAAAAAAAAAAAAAAAAAAAAAAAAAAAGGGGGGGGGGGGGGGGGGGGGGGGGGAAAAAAAAAAAAAAAAAAAAAAGAAGAGGGGGGAGGTTAGGGGGGGGAAGAGCTAGAGAAGAGGAAAGGATGGGACAAGAAGGGAGGAAAGGAGACAAAATGCCTAATCGATAAAAGAAAAACGTGAGAAATATTGCGATGAAAAGTTGACCTCTGGAAAACGTGGATATACGGTGCAAACCCCTCCATTCGTGTTCTCATTCCATTTTACCTGATGCTGAACTCTTCAGAAGGCCATTTTCTGTGCTATCAGAGAAGGAAATGGGAAGGCACTGTGTGGATGTTATCTTTATTTTCACTCCTTGAATCATTTTTTATTTGTTGGTTGCTTTGGAGGAGGAGGGTTTTCTCTCTTTCGGGTGCGTTTGATTCAAGGGAGGATTTTATTCACGGCAATATTTTCAGAAGGCAGCTAGAGTCGCCGGGAATCGCTGTCCCTGGGCTGGCCTGAGCAATGAGCAATCATTGGGAAAGTTATCCCCAAACCCTGCTGCACACCGCGGTGGCGGTGCGGTCGCTTTGCGGTGGTGCCCTGGGAGGCGACGGCTTTGACGGTCGTGGAGGGCTTTTCTCCTCTCTGCTCCTCCTCCAGTATTCCGGATAACTTGTGTGTGTCCCCCTCCCCGCATCCCTCCTCCCCCCCC